TTTATCAAAATTATGGCAGAGATGTTGTTAGAAATAGATTCATAAACTTCCCATTTTAGCCTCTATCACCTAGCCCAAATTTGTCATCGAACAGCTACAACGAAGAGGTCTGGGTGTCAAAGACTATCCCAATGAAAACTATAAAAGAGAGGGATTGTCACACGTAACATCAATATTCAAAATTCAGTCATCGGAAGCTGATATCTAATAAGAAAAACTTAATAAGACATTTGTATTGTTATCATTTTAGTTTTTACAAGATGCCGTGTCCATTACCAGAAAAGATCTTGCTTAAAATAAGAAAAATATGGAAAAAGAAAAAGCCACACCATATCATGTTACAGAACGCTGATGATTGTATCACGTTCACTAATAGTCGAGATATCACAGTACAGCCGAGCAATAGAAACAATGTTATTGAAGTTTGGGGAAAATATGGTTTGATGGATGACGGTAGTACCCACTTCTTAAGATGTTTTGTGAAAAAAATAAATCATAAGATTTATATCATGCGGTTTCCTGTGTCCAATGCTAAAACCTGCCATAAACGTCTTGATCCAGAATTGGTGGAATTACCGGAAAACTGGTCATGGAAAAAGAAGCATATTCTTGAAGAACATTATCCGTATTGGTTTCGTTATGAAACCTTTGATAATGATGAATGTATTTTTCGCTCATTGTATAATGGACAGTATCTTCTTAAACAGACTGACGATTTTAAATCTGTAGAGTTTTTATATGTACGTGAGAAAGAGACTGATTATTTTAAACTACCAACTTACTATTTCTTCAGAATATTTAAATATCAGCCTTCAATAAGATGTCGTCTTCATCCAGACTTACAGAACCTCCTATACCACCATTTACCTAGGATAATATCATGTTTAAGAGGACAAAATACAGGTTGACAATCCTGCCTAATTCAAGATTAGACTCCTACATCGAGTCATGTATTGTTGATATATCGCTACAATATATATGATAATAATATAATGTGTTAAGTCTAAACTGTGAGATCCATAGAAGATTAATACCTCATTCTTAATATATCTGCAGCATTGTGGAATAGTATATGAATGTCCGATATTTGGAGACGAAACCGTGTGTAAATAACGAATGAATACCTTTAATTATTTTTCTTGGAAGAATGACTGAAAGGTTGCCTAACCAAATCTGTGTAATGTGTTCAGACCTACATCAGACGAACTGCAGCATTGCCAATTTCAGTCCTAGTTGACGTCCAGGATGCCTGGATTAAAGACATGGAGCAAGCACCAGATGGGCAGCAGATCGCCAGCTATAACGACCTCTCCATAGGGTGTGAGAGGACAATTCCGCGGTCTCGTCCTCGAGTTGACAAACACCGAGATGCAAATATTGAGAGACTAAAGCAGAAGCGTGCTACTGGCAGAACATCAGTGAATCATCAGATGCAGTTAAAGACAATCGTTGTTTGTGTGGAAGAGTACTGTTTAAATATGTTTCGCAATATATGCTTAATTAAAGTTTACTTTAGAATGTACATTTTGTACCAATATAGGGGCAACTTTGGAGTCAAACAATTTGAATGCTATCTTATAATTTTATGACCAAGTTTGTATATACATAATGTGGTGACATTTAGTGCTTTAGTCACATGTTGAGACAATGTGCAGCAACATGAATTCCATTTGAGTCGATTGAAAAATACAATGCCTAAATATATTTATACTGATTAACAACTATTTTGAAAATGCCACTCTTCCCTTCTTGATAGAATGCCTCAATTCTTGAAGACTACTATTTTTGATTTTTTAACGTTAACTTTCATATTCCATTTTGTACAGTAGTCATCAAGAATATCAAGCCGTTTCTGCAAATCACCAGGCGTTTCAGCAAGAAGGGATAAGTTATCGGCAAAAGGTAGCAGGAACATTCATCAATACTAGGATCGATAAAGATTCTAGAGCTACAAATTTGTTCTTTTTTTTTTCTATCTTGTTGGAAGGGTTCATGACACTCATCCATAAATGTTTTGAAAGTAGTGTAGGCGAAATGAGGAGGGCAAAGATATCTTGTCGGGCAGCATACACCCAAAGACACCTAATCAGATCTTCAACGCTTCGCTACCCTAAACGTCCAGGGTTCAATCCCAATAGAAGTCGGAATTTTTCAACCACCTTTCCCCAGTCAGTGATGCAGAGAGACAGTCTAATTAAAGTTAGACCAAACTTTCGTTCCGTTTTTCATTAGCTTTTATTTATAATATAACCATTGCAGTTAGGGTCTAACGACAGGGTCTTGAATGTTCATCAAATTAACCTTTTGACCTTACTCAATAACGTCTGCTTTAAACTATCAAATTTGTACCTTCTCCAGCGCTGGCATTTTTTGACGCGGTGTTTTATCGGGTTAGGTCAAAAGGCTGATATAGAAATTGCAGTTATAAGCTGAAGGGAGATAATCGAAGGGACCCGTTTTAAAGACGCTGACAACATCAAGAAAAGCCAACAATGGAGTATCCGAGAAAAATCCTTCGATGAATGCATAGAAGCGTGTCATAGAAGAATGGGAAAGTGCGTTAGACTCCAAGGGAATTATTTCGAAGGCAAAACTCGAGATCTCTTAACTTTGCTCTTGTGTTTGTCTGAAGTTGCAATGGAATCAGACCATCATCTAAAAAGTGTCACTGAACTCTAGTGTTAACAATAAACTTAATATTCTGTAATTTATTCATATTTACTATCTATTTTATGTATAATTATGGATCAGTATCAATGTATCACAAAACAGTGATCATTAAAGCGTTTTCAGAGATTTATAATCCAGCAAGGACATTTGTGCACATTCAGTCCATATTACTCTGTATAAATAGTTTTGACCAAATGAATGAAGTTTTCTTAAAATGTAAACAAATAAAAACACTATGTCTTTCAGCAATAATTTTTACAGGCATATGTATATAGCTTTTATTTTCCTTAGTACATGTATATGAATGTATTAACACTGTACAATATATAACATTTTAACAATAAAACAGTGACTTGTTGTTTGTCTATTACCAGACTGACTGTTATGAGCTGGCTATTGTCATCACAATAATTATCAAAGGCTTGGAGAAGAGAGTGAATCTAAGCTAATCTCATGTTAACACAGCATCTTAGAACAGTATCACAATATTAGAAAATAAACACTATTATAGATATACAATAGGGCCAACTCAGTAATTTCGGAATCATGTTTTGATGTTTCTAACATTGCATAAATGCTTACAAATTTGGCAGACTCATTTGATGAACACTAATATAATAATACTCAATATGGTCCACCATATAGTTAGACAAAGGCATATTTCCAGAAGTGCCCAATTATAAACAATGAGTTTTTCTTAAAATGTGTTGAATGAGACACAAATAAAAATTCGGCCAGGTTGTCTTATAACAACGTAAAGTTTACTCTGTGACTTTGCAGGTAAATGATCATTGAGGTTTCTATAAATGCAAGTGATATTATTATTAGCCATAAATCAGCATACCTATATAAACTATAATGCATGTAAACAATAATAATGAACTAATTCAAAATGTTTGATATCAAATTAACAATGCCAAGAATAATTTAGAAATATGTTCTAAATTTAATCCCAATGTAATATTTCAAGCACTTCAACTGTGTATATATACAACATTGTAAGGATCTCAGCTTTGTTGTATTTGACATTATGTGTAATCTATCTACACCAAAACCCATGCTCTAATAGCGTTAATCAACTCTACAGACTACTTGTGCAAATGAATTGCAATTTGACATATAGAAATTGATTCAACATTAGATAAAATCAATCAAATGTAAGTAAAATGCAGTTTCTGTTATCATAATATTATCAATGCAGATTTAACAAAACTATTTACTTCATATTAATCATTTCATGTTTTATTTTTCAATAATTTTATATTGTTTTATACACAATCAAGAAGTGACTCGCTTCTTATGACTCCCAATAGTTTAGAACTTGTTAATGCTGTTCTAAATGCAATCAATATCAGGCTTGTCTTGTTATGATATACCAATGTTAATTTCATGTTTTTTTAACATTTACTTGTAATCATTCCATGTTTTTTTTTTAATCTTTTCATGTACTTTTTATCATTTTATGTATATCTAAGTATAATGACATCAGGTCATTTAATATAATAATGATACTATTATCCAAAATAATCAAATAAATATTTCATAAAACTAAACATAAACCAAAGCAAAAAAGAAAAGGGTGATTAAACTAATGCCCATTGGCATCACATGTTCCAGGGAAAGCCAAAAAAAAAAGACCAACAGTAAACTAATGCAGTCATAGATTTTAACAGACTAGTACAAGTTGTTTGAAGGAATACTACCTCTTAGAATGAACATAAAATTAAAATTCTCAAATTATGCCAATAAGAGTATGATATATTCATTAATGGACTTACCTGATGTCATAACAATATATCAATAAAATCTTTGTATAATCCTTACAACTTACTTGTAAATATTATGTTCATTCTAAGAGACTGTATTATTTGAATAAAAGTAAGATTAACAGTTTTACTCATCATAATATGTTCATAGAGTTTATAAATTCAGTATAGATTCAATATGTCATTGCATAACCCAATGTCCAACGGGTACAAAACCAAAGATAGACACACAGTTAAATTAGTATGTTGTCTATTCTGTAGCTCCTCTACTCATTGATGTAGAAAATAATAATTTCACTTTTTTATTTTTCTTCTTCTTCCCATCCTTCTGTTTCCCAGCTGATTTGGATTCTGAAATCAGATATTTAGAAATTCAATACATAGAAAGGTGTTTCGAATGGTAAATTTACCAAATTGTTACATAATTTTGTACAAGATAATATCACCATTGTCAAACTTCAGTAGGGACAAAATCTGAAATAGATCAGTTGTCTGAAGATTGCACAGTGTGAAATTCGCAGTAACAGCGTGTTTCAGATTCTGTATTCAATAATATTTCATTTTCATCTACAGACAATTAATCATAAAGAATTGTCAAGCAAATGTCATTTTGTAAATCGACAATAAATGGAATGACGTCTAGCTATTCATGTCTACGTGATAATATCTCTCTTGCCATTTAATAATATTTTTAAAGTCTATATATGGTTAATAAAGAGATGCTAGACTGAAATCATGTAAATAAATTAAAAAGAAATGCTATAGAGCTACAAGTTTTCAATGATTATGAACTATAAGAATGATTTTTCACAAGAGATCTTACCTGATTTGGCAGTGGCGCTATCTAAAGCTGCCTGTAGAGCATTACCAAATGATTGTTTAAATTCGGGTACAGGGGTATAATCTTCTAGTTCTTCACCATCACTATCAATATATACTGTAGTCTTCTCTTCTTTCACTACTGGACTACTGCTGGCTTTAGATTGAAGTTTAGGCCAAGCTTGTACTGGACTCTTAGTTGGACCATTTCTCAACATCTAAGATAATAAAATTAAAATTTCAATTTGTGATAATGACATTCATATTAGTGGTAAGGAAGTTCTTATGGACAGGATCTCTCATCACCAAATAATGGAGCTTATAGAGCATATCACTGTTCATATCTGATCTCTCCTTCCAAGTACCACTGTTACTATCAATTTTTACCTTTGAGTGCAACAGATAGCTGACATTGAGACAACTTATCTCTCTGAATATACTAATTATTCATCAACATAACACACTTTCAAAAGGAATTTTCAACTGTATTGTAGTCATTTTTCAAAATGAAATGAATGGAGTTTTACATCCTAGTTTTCTGCACAATGTGGGCTAATGAAGACGGGCAACGCCATGCAGGGTGTAATGAGGGAAATTTTTGCCAGCTGCATTAGCCTGCTCTTTTTGGATTTCCACCTGTCGAGGGATCTTTAACGTGCACAGCCTGTAGCACAGGGCCTCGGTTTATTGTCCCATCCGAACGACTAGACGCTTTTTCCATGTCAGCTCCTCCTACCTGCATCACACAGAAAAATCCGAAAGCTATTATCTTGACCTATGCCGGGATTGAACCCTCGTCCTTCAGGTTAGCGAGCAAGCGTCTAACTCGCTCACCCGCGGCTCCCTGTCATTATTCAAAAAAAACTCTTGATAATTTATTGGCATCAATATGAACTCCGGTATATCCTCATCTAAATTTACGCAATTATGCATTAAGTATTATTTCATTCAAGTAGTGATAAAACCTACTTGTGCGAAGGATAGGGATTGTCTATCATCAGGAGGTGATGGGGTAGTGATATCAGGTGATACAGGACTATCTACACTGACACTCTGACTCTGGACTGATAATACAGGATGGTCATTATAACTATTAATATGTGATGGGAACTGATATTCACTCTTCAATGATATATTCAACTCAGGATCTGAAATGAAGAAAGTATCAACACAATCATGAACATAAATGATAGTTGGTGGTTAGAGAAATAACTTCATTCATAAACAATCACAGTCAGATAAAGTATCATATCATGGCATACACAAGGCAGTATTCAAAGCAATTTGACAATTAAAATAGTATTTCAGAAATTCTATTTGTGAAGACAGATAGTTTTTGCTTATGCTAGGAAACACCCCTCCTGTGTTAAATTGGATATACAATGTTATGACTTATAAGAGAGGCATGCAGGCAAATATTTATGCATTTCCCTTTTTTTCTGTCATGTGTTACAAGAGCTAATTAAAAAGATGTATTTTGGGACAATTTGTTGCCTGTTTGATTATTCTTCCATACAAATCCAGAATTGATATAGTTGAATGCAGATTTACTTACATTTTCCCATCCTCTTGTCCTCCTCTAGACTGATTTGTTTTTCTCTTTGTCTTTCACTCTTCTCTTTTCTTATCCGTGATTTTTTCTTTCTATCTATTTCACCTGCAAAATCAAAATATACAATATTTCATAACTGCCTTTTTAAACTAATAAGTTATTTTCTGAGGATGCACAAATTGTAATTAGGACAATTTACCATGATCAAGCTTCTACTGTTCTGTAAGCTATCATCAATTTCTGTAACTTGCACCTCAAGGGGGTATCTTGCTCAGAGCTTAGATTGCGAATGAATTCAGAAAGAAAGAAAAATCTTTGATCTGTCAAAAGTGAATCCTCAAGGCAGTATAAATGTAATTTATAATATATTGTTTACTTACTATGAAATAAATCAAGGGTAGGTCTAGATACTATAGGTGGTTTAAGATCCAACTCAACTTGTTGAAATTCACTAGATAATGGTAGATGATTCAGATACTTAGTTCGTGATCGTAACTCTTCACTCATATTCATAGTACGAATATCTATTATTCTAGCTGTTATAGAGGCTGGTGATTGTTCTAGACTACCATATTCATGAGTTAAACAACGTGAATTCAAATTGTGAATATAAATTTGTTGCCCATCTTCAGCTGAAAGAAGAAACCAAAATCATTAGTCATTTTACACAAATATGTTTCGGAAACTCATATTGATAAAAATGTTCTTTTGGTTCTAAAAAGTTCATACATCAGCTGCTATACTTCTATGTACTGGTATCTGTGTCTATTTCTGATAAATAAACACAATATCATACATAGTGGCTTGTGGTAAATTTAACAGAACAATCAAAGAATAATTCATAAATACTATATATTACAGGTCAATCTCCTGATCATAATAAATTATTAAAGCCATTTTCCTCAAAATACAAAGAGTAAAACTATTCACCTTGAAAACAGTGATATCCATTTTTAGAAACATAAACACGTTTATTCTTGGGCTTGTGTATATTGGTGTTCATCATATCAGTGGACATCTCAGGCTCTGTGTAACTTTCTTCAGATATAGTTACATCTTCTATCATTTCAGCAGCACAGGCTCCTAGGTCACTGGGAACAGATTGACTAGTAGGCATATCACTACAACTCTCTAGGGCACCCTCAATATCCGATACAGAACTCTCCGAGAATGTTTTAAATCTACCAGCAGTAATTTCAGGATATTCATCTGAAGTTGTGGAACCAACTGATAATGTTTTCACTCTTCTGTCTATATCTCCTGTTAAACTAGCAGTCTGAAATCAAAGAATGCAAGAAATTCAAAAATTGATTTTTGTCCTAATCTACATAATATGTATAAGCAATTGTGCTCTACATTCTAGTATTATGAATCTATTAAACAAAGCTAAATATAACTTGATAGGAAACAAAAACGGCACTAATCTAACAAATGGGCTCATCCTAGCAAACATAATGTATAATTTCATAATGAGAGAAAATAAGCATGTGTGGAAGAGTTCACACAAGACTGGCACACTATAGCTAGCTATATTTTCACCCTAATCTTGCATCAAGAGATGTACAAGTATGCTTGTGAGCAATGACAAAGAGTTTGATCAAGGAGTCAATCAGTAGCACACTGGACCTCCATTTTGCATCTATCAGTTTAAAAAGTGCAACAAAATATCTTACAGCTTTGATTTTATCGTCAGTTTTTGTGTCTCCTTTCCGTTGAGCCATCTTGTCAAATTTATTAAAACTTGTCTCTACTAATGCCTGCATTACCAGGTCTTTCTCCCTCTCCTATAAAATACATAATATTTTAGTTAAAAAAAACAGTTTTCTTTCAATTCAATATTACTTTTTAGAGAACACTGAAGAGCACTTCAAAACCTATAAAACTTTCACGAAAATATTCTCAGGGACAGTGTTTGGGAAATTTTTCATAAAAACTGACCATGGGGTTATAAATTTTCTTAAACTTAAGGAAATGTATCAAACTTTTAATAAACATAAAGATCTACCTGAAGTTGAGCTAATGCTGTTTCAATGAAACAAACTTCAGAGTCCTGAAAGAAAGAGGTATTTCTTGATATCGTACCACAAAGACTTAGTATACAACCAAGAACAAGTTATAAAAATTCAATAAAGATATTGTTTTTGCTTGTTTTAATGCTTTAGTACATATCTAATGGCTTAATAACTATGAGCTCTTCAGTGCATTATGATGCATTATACGTAAAATCCTCATTACTAATTTTCCATATTTGATTAAGAAATGGTACCTCAGTGTCTATGAGTTGTGTTTGTAAGCTAGTCTTCTCTCTATCTACTACATGTTGTAGTATCTCACTAGCTGAGGCCGCTAATAACTTCATATACTTAGTTATGTTAATATCCTCTACAATTATAATAATCAAAAATATTAAAACATGAAAAAAACATATATGCTAATGAAATGAATGGAGTTTATGTCCTACTTATCTGATTGGGTTAAAGAAGACTTGACAATGCCTTGCAGTTTGCAATGAGAGAAACTTGTCACTACAGCATTAGCCTACACTTGTTCGACTTTAAACTGTCTAGAATTTTTTATGTGCAGGGCCTGTAACCTTCTGTTTCTTCTGAGCTCACATTGAAAAAACTTGATGCAAATGACAAAGCAACCTTTTTAAACTTCTTTGTTTTTTGGTAATCTACAATTAGTTTGGTTTTTGGGAAAAGATTTCTATGAAAAAGGAATGTCAATAGCTAAACAGGTTAAAAGAGGATAAAACATACCTAAATATCTATGAAGTTTACCCTGTCTATCAGACCAGATATCTTTCGGTACAGAATAGTTGGTGCCACATTCCCTTTTCATTAGCTTCATAGTTATTATATCACCTATTTTATATGACTTGATAATCACAGATTCAGCACTGAAATTATTTACTCTTGATTTAATGGTCAAAAAAGTCAATGTCTGGGTTTCATTAGGTTAAATAATAATTTCTGGCCCATTGGCAACTAGAATATACAATGCTATGACTTCTTTATTCTTATCTTAAGGAGGTACTGTCTTAATGTGGCAGTGGAATAGCTCTGTCAGTACTTTCAAGTGGGGAAATTCTGATTGTTCTGGTGTCGGCTTTCAACCCCTATCACCATAGAAAACGCTTTTTCTGCATGGAAATATATAGAGCTTAACTTTGCAGTTAAAAAACACAAGAATTAATTACAATAGCATTGATACCTTCTTAAATCCTTTGCTAATACAGGACTATAACAGATAGGACATTCTGCCCATGAACCATCCTCCAATGATAATAGATGTAAGATACAAGACCAACAATATATATGTCCACATCGAGTTACTTTAGCTGAAATATAAAATGTTTATATAATTAATAGTTAAAATAAAACAGTCATTGAAATGATAACTATTGAATTCAAATGGTTTTTGAATGGTCAATGATTTTTTTAACACCAGAGAAAGGAATCTTTTTGAAAATGAAAGGGTTAAACATTATGTCTGTACTGAGAAAACATAGCTCAAATCAAGTAACTTAAGGTCTATAAATTATATCAATATTTGCAAGATATTATGAAGAATAAACTAACAACTGGAGCTGTCCAATATAAGCTACTCACCAGCTACAGGTGTATCCATACAGATAGGACAAGCTGGCTCATTGTGACTGTATAATCTCTGAAATACAACATATTTTTTTTGTTTAAACAATATTTTATGCATTGATCATACATATGATATTTTACAAAATATATATAGGGCTTCAAAAACAAGCTGTGGCTAATGTTAATCCGTCATTAGACATCATAAAAACACATATAGAAACAAACTGTTTAATATTCTCAATTGAGGGAATATTTAATCATTTTTTAATAATTACTTAGTTTTTCATTTTTTAATAATTACTTAGTTTTAAGGATTTATCATATTCTTTTTTGCAAGTTTGAAATTTTAATCTAATGTTCACTTCTAACCATTTAAATGAATTCAAAATACATAGAATACTTACAACTAGCTCAACAAGATTCCAGTCAACTAAGATATCAGGATCAGCAGTATGTAGAGAATAATCACCAGTATCTTTAACTATAAACTGACAACTACAACAACAAAATAATAATATCAAAGATCTTGGTCACTCACAACAAGGTCAAACTAAACTTGCTTGCTCTTTAAATTTGACATACGAAGCTGCTTTTCCCTTTCTATGCCTGTCACAGAACATTGACAAACATGGCAATTGAACTGATCAAGCTCAGCCTTGAAAGAATATGTTCATACATATGGTGCAACATTAGAAGTATTAAAGCCTTACTTTGCTTGAAGAAATCGCTTCTTATCAAATCTGACTCTGTTAGTTTTTGTTCTTTTCACATTCCCACCAACAAATGCATCAACTTCCCTTGGAGCAAAGGAAAAATTCAGCAAATGATTTAAATTGCCCTTTTTGGGACCATACATAGAACCATATTCTTCTTGATAACTCTGTACTACCTGCATAAAAATAATTGTGTTCATTAAAATCAGGTTTTTTTGCAGGAATCTTAAAAAAGAAGCAGTCCTCGGAACTTTTAATACCTTCATTTTGTAGTAAACAGATTCCACGCAGCAGAGATTTTGTTTTGTGCCCCGATACACTGCAGTTTACAATTAAGCCTCTAAATCTCACAATCAAGAGTTACTACGTTACATTGGTAATTATCCAATTAAATATCAGCTAATCAGAAAAACATAGCTAATGAGATAATGCAACAGATGATTACCTCTTCTCTTTGACGGTCAAAGGTATTAGATGTTCTGGATCTCGGTCGTTTATCACCAGCTGATCGCCATTTTTGTGGAGGTGGTTTTCTTGAATTTCCATTGTCTGACCCTCCCCGGCCATTGGATTCTCTTTTCTTATTGCGAGGAAATTTATTAGAGTTATCTGGAAGGAAAAATAAGACAGTATAATAACTGAAGCCAAATTAGTTTCAGTAACTACACCTGTCAGAATTTGACCTATTTTACCTGAATTTAACGATGCCATTTTCCCACTTAAATAATTTATCAACTGCATTTTTTTTTATAAATTAGCACTTAACAAATAGGCTACAAATTGAAAGAAAAATGCGAAGAACAAAATTGAACACAGATTTCAGAGGTTGCCAAGTGGCAATCATTTCTTGTGGTGGTGACATTCCCATACTTTGAAAGGTCAAGGTCATCCAATATATGCAATCTTACCATTTTTTTTATCGGCTGATGGTCCATTGCCCTTTGGCGGGGGTACTGAAGATTGACGAGATCCTTTCTTTTCCATTACACACTTTTCCTCTTCCAACATAAACTAAGTCTTTGGGCACAACCAAGGTGCCAGAAAGTCGGGTTTCCCCTATCTGCTGAGCAGAGAAACTTGAACTTCCGTACAAATAAGGAGACATTTTATAAAGCCATGATTGCAACGACAAAAATTGTAAAATATAACGTTAATCTGTATTATATCAAACAAATTTGTAGATAAATTTGTGGAGGGTGTAAAAAAGAAACTTATGGGGTTGATCGTCCCCTAAATTCGATCGTTTTTTCGCCTCAAAAGCGCCAGGAAAGCGCGACCTAAATCGCACTCAAACAATTTCAATGGCGGTGTCCGCCTAATCATGCCCGGATGTGAATCTTTAATTTGTACGTACAGTTAAAAATAGGATAACGAAATTTCTCATAATTAATTTTTTAACTATTTTGTAATGGATTTATCATTGTGTTTTTAAGCAGTGTACTTATTGCAGTCTATAACATTATACTGATGAAGATTAAATAACTTTAGATTGGTAAAGAAGAACATATTTGAAAATATTTCGTTTCTTTATTTCATATTTACATGGCGAAAAATCCTTATACTCTAACCAATAAATTTCCGTTGATAATACCAGCTGTGATTGCTGTCTGTGTGATTGCGGGAAATATAAATCAGTTTGGTTCACGCATATTTGATTTTATCACAGATAATCACAGAATCTGAAAGAGGTTGATATCTTAGTTCCTCGAGTTGATATTTTTGGGACTATGTGCCGTAATCATTTATTTAACATTGTTGTACAACATAGACCAAAGTCAATAACAAATTGAACTCTTATTTTTTAATGACAATTTGGACTACATTGTTTTAATTCTGCAAACTATAAATTGTTTTAACTAAATGAAAATACAAACCCCAATTTTTACTTTTCTGCACCTCATTGACATTGAGCTAATTAAGACATTGAACGGCAGTGTGAGACCAAATATGCCAGAACTAGGACATGAATTAGCCATCTGGCTGACTACAATGAGCTTTGAATTGAATTTTTTCTCTCATTTCATAAATGTTCAAAATAAAATTTTAAACTTTATGCCATTAGTCTTAGAATGTCTTCAGGTCTATAAAAATATAAGGTTCAGTGATTTTACCTTTGAAATAGTCACATTTTCCTCCCAGAAAATTCATGTGAAAATGCCCTGCTTTTCGGACTGAATATTTTACAATAAATAACTATCAGTAGTATTTTGTAATGAATCTTTCAATTCGTTCGAAAATGATTGACAAAATTCGATTCAGAAATCATTGTAGAGTAGTTTTAATCAGCTTTAGCCATCTCATTCTTGAATTCATGTCAAGGAATCTGTGACGTCAAGATTCTTTACCTTTTTTTTTCTTTGTAAAGGAAAGTTATGGCTTAATGCTAATTTGATTTTGAATGTCCTTGTTTTTAATTCTCCCTGCTCTTTAAAGGTGAACTAAATGATAATGACCTAAAAAAAACCCGCACACAAAATAGATTACAAACCAAATCACTGCTAGATTATAAAACTACTCTCGTCTGTTTCCAGTTTAAAAAGAATGGATGACTCCCAGTGGTCGAGCCTGGAGAACTTAATTAAAGAATTTGATGAACCAGAAGACATAGTCAATGAAAAGATATTTACCAGACATCTTACAAGTGAAGAATATGAAGAAAATATCAAATCAGATACTGAGAGAGAAATACAGGTTGGTTAGGTTCCCTTATTACTGACAGTCGTTCATTCATATTGAATGATTTTTAAAAGCAAGAGGTTATGATATTCTACAGTATGAGGAACTCTTGTCAAGTAGTAACATTGGGCCTACCTTGTTACAAAATATTTATAGTTTAGTGTACACGAAATATCCATACAAAGTTGTCCCAGAGATAAGGATTGCATCCAACCATTTTATTGCATGACTTAAACATGAGTTGCAGGTTTTGGCACTCCAAATAATCATGACTGAGTTCAGTTCTTTTAGCTCCAGATATACATGACTGAGTTGCACTGAGCTCCAAATATTAGTCAGAGTTTTAGAATTTCAACTTCATTTCAGAGGTTAGTGAAATACATTGACAGTCATCCAGAATCATACAGGAAAGTTTTACGTAAGAGAAGAATGGAAGAAATAGAAAATGCTGGTTTTTTCTCCAATTTGAAGGTTTGTAAAAAAAAAACTTTACCTGAAAAGCTCAAATAATTGGTGTAAAAACTGTCTCCCATACCATGTTCAAGTCCATTAATTTTCAAACAATTTTCATAGATATTTTGATATTTGATCAAAAATGAAATAAAAACTTAGGAAACTTGCAACAAATTTGAAATGAAATTTAGAGCAGTATTAACTTCTGTGATTCTTTGAGTGTATATGAGTAGCTCCTTTCATTTTCTCTCTATTTCTTTAAACTTGATCTTGTTTACTAGCCACATGTGCAAGGTGGTGTATTTGGACATTATCTACTATTTTAATTTTTATATGTTTATATAGTTTTTTTTATTATCTTATTTAGGCATTCATTTTTAAATCAATAGAAATCTTACTCAACTTAATGCCTGTTTTGTATGTTAATTTTGGTGAACAGTTGAATTGTTATTTTCTAGTTAAAGCTATTACGATGGCTACATGGAGATAACTGTCCTAACTGTATAGTAAATATAGACGAATCAACAACCAAATTAAACAATTTAAAACAAGGAATGGAAAAAGCCTTTAAGTATTCTACCAGTGAGTATTCATTCTTAGAACTTTCTTTTTTAGATAACTCAAAAATTAACTTGCAAATTTGATAGACACCATCAGAATATAAATCTCTGTCCATCTGCCTGTACAATGCCGATTGTTTGTTGATCTATTCACAATTCTTGTAAAAAATGATAGAGGCTATAGTATTTATATGATTTTGATGAAATTAGAACATGATTGTATGTAGATTGCTAATATTGTTGATTTTGACCTGGACTAACTTTGAGAAAACAATGAGTCTGACTAGTGATCTGTGACAATTTAAAGAAATTTATTAACTGAATTTACCAAACCAAAATCAAAAACCAAAAGCCTATTTGATCTGTCTAACCCTTTGCCATTGTATTGGACTAAAATTCTTGATTGAGAATGAGTTTTGTTCAGGGCTTTCAATGTTAAATTGAATTTTGTTCAGGGTTTTCAATGTTAAATTGAATTTTGTTCAGGGCTTTCAATGTTAAATTGAATTTTGTTCAGGGATATAAGGATTTTTAGAGATTATAAACAAAGGGTAATTATTCACAGCTTTGAGGTGAGCTAAAATCAGCGTATGGTAGAGACCTCTCTCATCCTGTATTCTTGGAGAGTGAGTTGAAATCAGTATATCTCATCCTGTATTTGATGTTCATTGTGATAGCAGACATCCCAGGGTACAATTCTTCTTGTCATGTCAGCAACATAATACAAGAATGTTCCCAGATGCAGAATTTAAAGATAATTTTAATCCTGAAAGTTAGGTAAGTGTTTATTTGTTAAATGAAATTAATATTCAACCTATTATTTGACTGATTATTTTGCAACTTTTTTTTTAATTCAAGCATTCTTTTTCTTTATGGTTATTTAGTAAGAAAAATCCTGTCTCATATTTAGTATCAATTTCAACATTCCTAGTTTTACCATATGGAGACAAAAGCTGCAAGCTCTTATTTTTAACCTCCTCCTTTGTATTTGAGAGCTGATAATTGATGTTATCTCATCAAACTTTCTTTGCCTCTTTTTCTTTTAGATTAAAAATCCTTGAAGATTATGAAAAAGAGAAAAATGGCAGAAATAATGCTTGAAATTTTATGGTGGGTTATTGTTATATTATATTGTTTATCAGCAATTGTTTTGATGAGGTGTGTGTATTAAAACTCCATGCATCCCTTGAACACTAATTACTTTATTCCTTATGTCCTTTCAAACTCAAATGCATTTTAGATACATCTAGTGTATCACAAAATTATTTATCTTTAAATTATTTTTTTCCTTTTTATTTCAGGTGTGCAACATAAAATGAAGTGAGTCGTTTCAGGTCCAAGGCTGAGGTAGGTCAAATATTTTCAGATATTATTATATTAGATAGGACTTTTATGGGTAGTAGGTAGGTTTGAGATTGATAAATGTAAAATTAAGAGAGAGAAAGTTTTGATGAGAATAAAGCTGTAATGATAATGTTATGATATATTATAAGAATTATTATGAAGGAATGATAATGTAGTAATATATGATAAGGTGAAGGATAATGTTATAATATATGATAGGAATTAAGATGAAGGAATGCTAATGTTATGATATAATGATAGGAATTAAGATGAAGGAATGATAATGTAGTAATATATGATAAGGTGAAGGATAATGTTATGATATAATGATAGGAATTAAGATGAAGGAATGGTAATGTTATGATATATGATAGGAATTAAGATGAAGGAATGCTAATGTTATGATATAATGATAGGAATTAGGATGAAGGAATGGTAATGTTATGATATATGATAGGAATGAAGATGAAGGAATGATAATGTAGTAATATATGATAAAGTGAAGGATGATAATGTTATGATATATGGTAGGAATTAAGATGAAGGAATGATAATGTTATGATATATGATAGGAATTAAGATGAAGGAATGATAATGTAGTAATATATGATAAAGTGAAGGATGATAATGTAATAATATATGATAAGGTGAAGGAATGATAATGTAGTAATATATGATAAAGTGAAGGATGATAATGTTATGATATATGATAGGAATTAAGATGGAGGAATGATAATGTTATAATATATGATAAGTTGAAGGATGATAATGTTATAATATATAATAAGGTGAAGGAATGATAATGTAATAATATATGATAAAGTAAAGGATGATAATGTTGATATATGATAGGAATTAAAATGAAGGAATGATAATGTTATGATATATGATAGGAATTAAAATGAAGGAATGATAATGTTATAATAAATGAAAAGTTGAAGGATGATGATGTTATGATATATGATAGCAAATAAGATAAAGGACTAATAATTTTATAATATATGATAGGAATTAAGATGAATTCTTTATGTCTTTATGAATTGTAGGGTAATTTTACTAAGCTTTAATCAAATTTTCATTTTATATTGTAGATGTGAGTTCACAAGATTAAAGAAATATCAGCACTTGAAGTTGATGAATACTTTTTACTAAATCATCAAAAAAGAAAAAGATTGTTAAAAATTGTTATAATTGTGTATATTTTAGAATTAAAAAGATATGAATTGTGTTGTTTTTAGTGAAACATATTGAAATTTCTGTGGGCTATAAAGAAATTTCAGATGTTTTAATATGTCTTGAACAATGCTTGTTGCTGAATAAGTACATTGCTATGCAAAAGGCTACATAGAGCCTTTTTCTTAAAGTTGGCACTGTGAGTTAGATGCTTGAGCGCTAACCTTAAGGTCCAGGATTTATGCACGCAGTCCACAGCACTGTTTTTTTCAATTTACATCTTTTTATACGCCCACACGTAAGATGGATGTATATTGTAATCACCCCGTCGGTCCGTTGGTCCGTCGGTCCGTCCCTTCACATTTGGCTCGTGCTCACTCTACAGGCTACAATTTTTTACAGATTCTTTGATTTTTATTTTGTGTGTCAATGTCATTATGAAGATGATGCCTATTGATTTTCGTGATGATTGGATAATTTTTCACCGAAATCTCGTGTCTGACTTGACGTTTTTCTCTATTAGCTATATTGTGCAACTCGTGCTCACTCTACAGGCTACAATTTTTTACAGATTCTTTTGATTTTTATTTTGTATGTCAATGTCATTATGAAGATGATCCCTATTGATTTTCATGATGATCTATCGATTTTCATGATGATCGGATAATTTTTCACCGAAATATCGTGTCTGACTTGACGTTTTTCTCTATTAGCTATATTGTGCAACTCGTGCTCACTCTACAGGCTACAATTTTTTACAGATTCTTTTGATTTTTATTTTGTGTGTCAATGTCATTATGAAGATGATCCCTATTGATTTTCGTGATGATCGGATAATTTTTCACCGAAATATCGTGTCTGACCTGACGTTTTACTCTATTAGCTATATTGTGCAACTCGTGCTCACTCTACAGGCGACAATTGTTTACAGATTCTTTTGATTTTTATTTTGTATGTCAATGTCATTATGAAGATGATCCCTATTGATTTTCATGATGATCTATCGATTTTCATGATGATCGGATAATTTTTCACCGAAATATCGTGTCTGACCTGACGTTTTACTCTATTAGCTATATTGTGCAACTCGTGCTCACTCTACAGGCTACAATTGTTTACAGATTCTTTTGAATTTTATTTTGTATGTCAATGTCATTATGAAGATGATCCCTATCGATTTTCGCAATGATCGGATAATATTTCACCGAAATATCGTGTCTGACTTGAAGTTTCACTCTATTAGCTATATTGTGCAACCCTGTAGTCACTATAGACTGTTTAATCATTTCTGACAGCTGCCAGTGGGCGTATGTTACCTTGCCTGGCAAGCTATCTTTTTCATCAATTTACAGAAAAGAAATATATTTCATAAAACTCTTTTAAAAAGTCTATAGTGGTGAAAATTTACTAGTTTTTCCGCAAAATGTTGGTAAGATTTTGAAACGTGAAATTATGTCACCTTGACATTAATGGCGTCATCTTAACGATTGACCGTCAAAAAATTGAATGGTCATAATAGCAAAAAAAAAACAAATTATGCAGGGAAAATGCGAAAAACTTCAAGGCTTTGATCTCAAAACAGAAATTGTCTAGTTTCATCTTTTCTGAAGCATTTCTTGAATTAAAAAAATAGTTACGATAGGGTATAGCTGTCGTAAGTTACGCCAAAATTTCTTAGCTTAAGAATTTTGGTGAAACTCAAATTTTCGATTTTTTCTTACGTAAGACAGACTTAAGAAAATATTTGACTTAAGAAGTTTAGTGAAACGGGGCCCAGAGTTCAATCTAGGCATAATGTTTATAAATATTCTGAAGGGCACATGGTTCAAACATTTTGGGGAAAATTGATTAAATGTTGTATCACCAAAAGTTGGAAGTGAAAATTGTGTTCTTTCTCTAATATATAGATAGTTAACACTTCAGAAACATCAAAGATGTCAATAAAACATAGTGTAGCTGTGAGGATGGGACAATAACAACTGTTTATAGTCATAGATCCCATGACTATTTGAAATATTTGAACATACATTGTTCAAGAAGGTTGCACAACCTCATTTCATAGAATTGGACATAGAATGATGAAATCTTCATGATGTTTTTTCTATGAACAGTTTGAGTTACAAACTTACTGTAAGCACAATATAAAATGATTTAACAAAACTTAGTATACATATTTTGATTGATATTTCAGATTGAAGTTGAAATTGCCCATATTTTTTACACCAGTTTTTTAGTTATTGTCCTAGTCAATGCACAAAATAATTAGATTTCTAGGACAAAAGAACCTAAAATAATCTTTATAAAACATGGTGTGCTATTTGCAAGTTGACAATACTCCACTCCCTGAAATTATTAAAGATAGGCCAAAGTTTTGATTTATTTACTATTATGGACTCTGATGTCTTAACCACAATTGAGGTCAGGGGTTTCATTCAATTTTCATGTTATTGATGTTTGCAGCCATAAAAAGAACATCAGTTTGCAGCTATTGGTGTATTTTATCTTGTCTGGCAAGCTGTCTGTTACTGATTTTTGAAACTTGGAATCTAGATCTATAATGAAGGTCAGACTCCTGCTGAAGAAAAGCAATACACATGTCTAATTCATTTCGTAATTCTGTTTCATTTCCAAATCTGATTTTGAGCATTACACTAGCTCAGTTGCTAGAAAGTATGATTGCTGACTGCTTGAGAATATGTGTCGTAAGTTCAAACCTTCTCCTGTAAGAAGGCTTGTTATCCTACTATCAGTTTTTGTTTCATTTTAGCTGCAAAGTCAAAGTCCTCACCCAACTTATTAAACCAGACACATTACTCTACACCATGTTGTACTCCTCACACCAGAAAAAAACCCAGACTGAGTTGTGGAAGTCCAGCAAATTATTCTCCTTATGTACAGATTAGTCTGGCTGATTTACCAGTGGTTCAGAATGAGAGTAAGGAAGATGAAAGGGTGCCCCTTCCACCTCCTCCCCCACCTCTACCATCATCATTCTTTACACAACAACAAAGAGCTGCTCAATTACAGGTAAGATTGTTACCATTGCTGTTATTCCAGTATTTTATCAAACTTGTCTTTTTTTACTAACTGACTTACACAGACATCATATTCAATTATTCTGAATTGAATTTGAAGTGCTTGCCAGAAACCTTCAGATAATAATGAGTTAATCCACTAAGTTTGGACCTGTTTTGCATTTTTTTTTTCAAGTTCCCTGTACATGTACATATATTCCATACAATTACAACAAATCAATAGGATACTGCTTCATTTGAAATCAATCCTGTCTGAGTAATAAATAAACCAAGTACTAACAATCTTAAGAAAACTAAGCCTGTGTGTCTGAAGTTTGATATCTTGTCAACTGAGTTGTTTATTTGTTTTTGATAATGTATAACTGTATACACTATGTTTCATTTGTATTTAAAGATGTCACATCCTCCCCTGCCAGCCACGCCTCAGACTAATGAAGTATTATATTGTATCTATGATGAACAAGAGAATAAAGAACCTAATAGTGATGATATCAAAATAGATGATGTTACTATGTCAATCAGACCAGACTCTAGTAATGATGTAAGTATGTCATTTGTCAGGTGTCACCCCTAATTTCATGAATGAGCTATTCTAAACATGCATTATGGTATTGATTGGAAAGTCCAAATTTTTCCTTATTATTATGTTCATGATTGTTGGAAAATTTGTAATGATAAATATACCAAATGAACAACATGTAGAATCTCAAAAGGGATGCTAAGTTGATAAACAAAGTCCCAGAGAGGCAGAAGGTGCTCCAATTGAGTAAACATGCCCTGCATCTGTTGCAACATCTGCCACAGTACTGTTCCAATGCTACCAATTTGAATACAAAAATTTACATGAATCCCAAGCAAATTGAAATTTCCACAACTTTAGCTTTAATATATTCTATTTTTATTTTCAGTTTTTAACACCAAAGAATGTATGTGTAAGAAAGCGAAGGAGAAGGTTTGTTTATTTTTCAATTAAAATTTTTTTTTTCCAACTTGCAAATCGATAAAAGCAATGACAACAGATCCTTGTCATTGTAAAAGTTTGTGAAGTTACTTTTTTGCCTAATTGTATAATAATTTAACCCTGATCAATTCTAAACTGTACAAACTTAAAAATAGACATCAGTTAACAGGGATTGAATGTAAAGAAGAGATTTATTAGGTCAATGGTAATGAAAGACGTATAATAATAAATATGTCCTATCTATTTGTTTTATTCTAGAACCAGATTATCAAGGTCTCCATCGAAACCTAGTTCTAATCTTTTGTCAGATTTACAGTCAGCTAATCCTCTGACTAGACTTAAAGCTACAACTGTTATTAGGTAGGCTGGCTTCATTTATTTGCATGCCTCACAAGTTTTATCTTACTGTATATTTTCCAAGATACCTGGAAAACCAAATTTTATCTCTTAAAATATGACCTAGTTTATTAAAGAAATGAACTTTATACATGCATGAATATCTACAAGCATCGCACTTAGGTCAATATGAAAAGGAATCTTCTTGTCTAAATATTTCTTTTTTATTTAATGACATGATTTGATTAAATCTTTTTTGTGTTTTTCAGATCCCCAGGTGGAACTCCAGCCAAATCAAATGAAGGAACCTCAGATGCACCCTTACAGAAAGCTCTTTTAATAGCTTTTAAAAAGAAATTTCGTAATGTGAGAACACCAAATTCAACCAGCTCATCACCTCGTATTAATAGCTCAGGATTTTCACCCAGGTTACGTTTATCTCCTGCTCATTTTGATTGCTGATTCTTGCTGATCATTGAATGAAAATCATGAACGTAACAACTCTTAAAGTCAAAGTACAGGGATCATATATCTAAATCATATGCTATGTTTTGGTTGAAGAGCAATTTTTAACATGTAAATAAAAGAGGGTGTATGTGCCAAAATAGCAAGAATTTGCCTATTATCTTTTTGGGTTTATAGCAATTAGAAACATTATTAATGCTTCAAAGTAATCATACCAATATTTCAGAAAAAAACCATTACACTATTAAAAAAAATACAGTTGTGTCCACAATTCACATATTTCAATGTCATTTAAAAATATATAACTGTGTTTTAGCAATGCAGCAGTGTGCTTCTGTAACATTACTTCAAAACTAAGAAAGGTGTGATAAGACAATTTTCTATTATTTGTGACATTTTCTTAGAATTGAACAATTGTACAGCTTTACCTATAGATTGAATAAATGTTGGGTATTTGCAAACAACAGTCATTATGAGATGCAAAAAAAAATATGTCACAAGTGAAGCACTGCATGTAATGTGCAAGTATTTTCAATATTTCATGTTCAAAATGTGTCAATCATTTTATTACATTTATTTCATTTTTTAGAACTTATTTACTTTCAGAGCACATTTTCATTTCATAGCACATTTATCATTTCATAGCACATTTATCATTTCATAGCACATTTATCATTTTTCATAATGTCAACATTGTCAAGTATTATTGTACAGATTGCTGTGATAAATAAATTCTGTAATAAATGTTTATATTTACTACTTGAAATAGTTCCATTTCATATTTTCCCCTTCACTGTCATATCTACTGTATACTTTTTGCCTATATTAAGATCTTGTGACAAGAATATACATGTATTCCCGTATTCCTAGTTGTCTTTTGCAAACAAACTTACTGGGACTGCGTTGGAGATTGTAAATTATTTCTAGTACAGTTATTGATACATCACAGCAAAATAAACAGACACCATTTTTATGTTGCTTTCGGTTCATAGAAAAACACTTGTTGTCCATAGTGTCATTAGAATAGACAGTGATGTTTCTACGCAATTGAGACTGGCCTGGATTAAATTGGTCCCCCGATTTAAATTACTTACCATTTTACAAAGGGAAAAATTGCTGGTGAGCTCTCCTACTCGAACCTTACAGTGTGGAGATTCTTCCTTTCGATTATTTCACTTGGTTTCTTTGCTGAAAAAGAAGACTGTTTCTTTTGATGTGGTCTGAATCCAGACAGATTTGTGGAGCTCCATAAAGGCAATATTAACATACTGTATTTATTGTGGTCTAAGTCTCGCTAGAGTTATCTTCTCTTTTTGTCAGTGAAAAGAAAACAAACAAGAAATTTTACCAATCTGTCACACATTATTTTGCAATCTAAAGGGTAATTTACTTATATATTTTCGTAATATGTTAAATTAATTGTTATATTGTATATTTCAAATCGTTTCCAACGCACATTGGTTTTGTAGTTGTCGTATTATTGATTTTTATTGTCATTCAGGCTAAATCCATGATTTGCCATTTATAATTTGGTCATCCTTCTATAAAATTAATAATAGTCATACTAGAATCTCAAGGCCAAACTTTAGAGATTGGTTCCTCATCATGTCATTTGATTATAAGCCTATAAGGTATAGTAATGAGAAATTTGGCACATGTTATAGCTACATTGCCAGTGGTCCTAGTCTACATTAAGGTTGTTAGCTTAAACGTAAGCAGTGGTTTTCAACCAGTTTTTGTATGTGTCCCAAAATCAAATCAGCGTGAAAATGATGTCCCTAAATATTGAAAGCGTATCTATGATTGGATACATCGCATAGTTTGATAGTAATAATTCTCTGAGTACTAGACAATGTTAATTTAGGTTGTGTATAGTGTAGTCATCATATGAGATGTTGTATATTGTAGTTGGAAAGTTTTTATAGCCATAGGTATAAATGCTTTTTCTTTGGACAAATAATATTTATGATAAATAAACAAGATTTATGACGTACTTCAAGTCTTCAAAGCCTTTCAGCCTCTATGACATGCATCAAAATGAGTTCATTTCATTTTATTTATGTAAATGTAAATGTAGTCTTAAAAGAGCCACTTATAATCATTGTTTCTCATTGAACATATGGGAATGCCTAAATAAACAAAAGAGATGCAACTTGTTAGCTTATGGGCTCTATAGAAAAAGTAGCTGAAATAACCCAGTCTTGATGTTGAAAGAGAAGGCTATAGTAACCTGGTAGGAGTTGTCAATTCCTGAGGATTGCATAGTGTGTTGTTGTCAGAGGTTGCTTGGTTAAAATCTGGTACTGGTATCTCATTTAAGATCTCTATCAGATATATTGCTCTGAACCCCTTGCCTCAACCCTTAAAATGTATTTGAGTTGAACAGTCCCCATTCAGTTGGATGGTCGTTATTCAATGCAATTAGGTACTGTGGGTTAAAACCTACTTAAGGTTAGAAATATTCTGATGCCACAGACAGTGCTGTGGAGAGTTGGCTTTCAACCTTTATCTCTATGCAAGACATCGAGAATTTATACTATCTATTATCAGCTAACTCAGCTTCTTGAATAAACTTAGCCTTCCAACCCAGAAACCTTCTTCTTTCTTACCCCTACCCCAAAAACCCACAAGTTCAAAATTAGTTCAGAAATATTAGAAATTATAATCTTATCTATATATTGCCTCCTACTCAGTATGTGTTTACTGGTTTCTAATTGAAATATTACAATCTCTCTTTTACCCTGACCCCAAAAATCCACAAGTCAACTAGAAATAGGATCAGAAATATTAGAAATTATAATCTCCATCAATATATTGCCCCCTACTTCACCCAGCTCTCAGTTTTTTAATACTAGATCTAATTAGAATTTCATTGACCCTTTTTTCCAACCTTCTCTCTATCTTTTACCCCGACCCCAAAAATCCACAAGTCAGCTAGAAATTAGTTCAGAAATATTAGAAATTATAATCTCCATCTATATGTTGCCTCCTACTTCACTCCACTCTCAGTTCTTTAATACTAATTAGAATATTGATTTTTGAGCGTGGTAACCGTGACAACTGATATACCAGCAGTAGAGATATTGTACACTATATTCACTCTAACTAGTTTAACTCTTAGCTTCAGTTTAACGGAATTTATTGATGGTTTTATAATCCACATCATTTTTATTTACGGTAAATAGCGTTTTTTCTCTTAATATTGGATCATATATAGATCATTTTCTGACTCCAGTAGGTAATTTTAGTCACTATTCTATATCATCTGGGGATTTGTAAAAGGTTATGTTCTCAGTTATGTATATCTTGAAATGTAGGTCTTTGATATTGATGACAAATTTGTTTAAGATTCTTAAAGCTCTATACTGTGGTTACTGTATTTATTTTCAATTACAAATTATGATATAACTCCATTGTTACTGTTAGTACTGCCTTAGTACCCAATGAGTACAACTCAAAATAGTTCTTATAGATAAGCCTTTGAATTGTTGAGACACTAGTTGGGGATTATTTAAGCCATGTCTTAGAAACATGTTTGTTCCGTCTTCAAGGTTGTTTGTGGTTTCATGTTTTATTTCTTGGTTTGACTCTAAGAATATAAGAAGCTATTTAATGAATTATTTTGATAGTAAAGATAAACAAACTCTGCCTTTTTAACTAGAAGGTGGTTAACTGTTGTGGACTAGGCCTTCTGTCGATTTTGAGGAGCATTTGAATTTTTTAAAAATTGAATCATGTAAATTCATCAAATGTATATAAAAAGGTTATATGATGTAGATTTTGCTAATATTATAGATCACAGATTTTCATACAGTAAACTGAAACTAATAGAGGAATTATCTGTGCCACTTGCACTAACATTATGAAATGGATCTAAACTATGGACAGTATTACTCTGAATTCAGAAGGCAAATCTATGATATATCATTGCTTATTTTTACTTTTGGTTGAGTCGTTTAGTTCTGGTTACGTTATTGGGAGTTAATACCAATTATGTATTTAAAAAGAGTTCATAAATAATTTGAATATTTGTCATAGATTACTATTTTCCAAAGAATAAAAGCAAGAATATCTGGATTCATCAGCATGATAAGAGGATCTACCAGTAATTGGGAACTTGATTAGTAGTCAAGAACCATTCTTCTTCAAGACAAATATGTTTTGCTTTTTAATGTTAGTAAATTAGTTTTCTGTGGTTTTTCTTCAATACAAATTCAGTGTTCCACTGTAACTGGAAAATGAAATGAAATGAATGGAGTTTTATGTCCTACCTTTCTGAACCTTGTGGGCTAATGAAGATGGGCGACACCATTTTGCCAGGACAGCGGCATTAGCCTGCTCTATTTCGATTTCCAACTGTCGAGGGATCTTTAACATGCACAGGCTGTAGCACACAGGGCCTCGGTTTATTGTCCCATCCGAGCGACTAGACGCTTTTTCCAAGTCAGTCCCTCATACCTGCATCACTAACAGGGGGAAACCGGGTTGAAAAATCTGAAGGTATTATCTCGACCTATGCCGGGATTGAACCCTGGACCTTCAGGTTAGCGAGCAAGCGTCTAATTCACTGAGCCACCGTGGCTTCCCCCTGTAACTGGAGACACTCTAAGGTTCAAATAGTTTAATCTGTTTATAGTGCTAGAGTAATATACCGCTAATAACCTAATTCATATATCTCATTAATATGGATATTATCTATCTCTTATTAATGTCTAGGCTTAAGTTCAGTATTAATCAAAGGAAAGTTCCTTCAAAGACTTCACTGTGGAGTCAAGTATCATGGACTTGAGAATGAGATGACTTCCATAAATACATAAGTACCATAATGCAATAAGTCATAATTTCAGTCATAAAAAATGGATAAGACATAACAGTCATAAACTGATACATACTTTATGCAGAAGAGAAAGGAAATAAGAAATCCTATGAATATGGTATTATCACTTAAAACATGCAGATTTAATACAAATATTTGTAAACTTATAAACTAACTGAAC